TCCTCCACAGTGGGTGCACACTTCAGATGCCTCTTGTTCGAGTACTTATTCCCCTTTTGATTTGTAGAAATTAGGGCCGAATGTTCAACAGGCTGCTCAGCTGGCTTAATTTGAGTATCAACTTGCATCTCTTTTCTTCTAACCTCTTCATTCCTCACGAGGTAATAGACATGATGTAAGTCTGTCGTTTCATCCCTTCCCAGAATTTGGGACCTTATGCCCTCATATATTGGACCTAAGCCAGCCAAAAATTAAAATGCTCCACCCTCTTCAATTTGTTTGTCATGCCTTTCCTTGTCTCTGGCATTCTCCCAATCAAGAATAAGGTGATGATCTAGCTCTTCCTATAGTCCTTCTAAGGTAGCAAAATATGTTGCAACAGTCATATCCCCTTGCCTCAAGGCAGCAATGTTTTGATTCAGTCTATAAATTCTGGCATTATTTTTTCTCTGCCCATAAGTTTTAGACACTTTCTCCCATATCTTGGCAGCAGTGGATAAATGTTGAACAGTCCTAGCTACCCTTGGAGTCATTGAAGCAAGTAGCCAGGACATAACAGTAGGATTCTCCTTATGCCAAACTGCATATTCCACACTACCCACTTCAGGTTCCTTCTTCATCCCGTCCAAATAACTAGTGAGTTCCCGAGATGTGATGAAGAGCATGGCTGAAACAGACCATTCACTGAAGTTGTACTCATCCAACAACACATTAGTGATCTGCAGGTTGTGCAGATTTGGATTCTCCAGATTAGGAGACCTCCCACCAGTCCTAACATCTCTAAAAGACACTTCCCCGGATATAGAAGACATCTTCTCCTACTTGCAAAGATCAAAGCTGTAAACACAATATACAGAAAGCTGTTTCAGACTTACGGAACTTGTTGCACTGCAAACTCAGTCCTGAGAACCCATAACAGAGCTGAAACCATGAGCACCACACGGCTGCACTGTGCTCTAATCACTGCTGTCGCAAACTGTAATCTGCCCTACGACCAGTTCTAGGACTGCCGCAATCAGTCCTCCCACCTAGATCTGTTCAACACAGATCTCTCTTAGCTGAATGGCTACAATCTGCTGTACTGAGTCTAGTAGGGCATCAACTTCTGGGACTACCTCCCCTTGGGCCCTACAACCAAGGGAAACCCTAGATGTAGGTCCTGCTGTGTTCTACGACCAACCCTAGGGTTTCTTTGCAGCAACCAAGATAGAAAAAGAAAAAAACAGAGAGTTAGAAGAGGAGGCGGCGGCTGTAACCAGGTGAAAGATTAGAGCTCTGATACCATGTTTGCTGGAATACAGTTGCCAAAGGAGAAGAGAAGAAGAAGGAGAGGAAGATTTGAGAATGGCGGCAATAAATCTCTCAGCTGGCCCTACTCTATTATAAATAAGTGTATTACATAATGTTACATAAATAGACTAGAATGCCCCTGATTAGTGATGGGACACCTAGACAAGTAAAACACTAAATAAGATTAGGCCCAATAACTAAGGCCCAACAACTAATGACTTAAGACCCAACAAAGATAAGCATACATATTAAGACAGTCGAACCAACAATCATAAGATTCATAACTTTTTAATATGTAATTAAAATCATAAAAAATATTTAAAAATCATTTGCTGAGAATAAATGGGGATTTTTTACAGCATGATTACCTTATTATTCTGAATGCTATTTGCTTACTAAATCATTATAATTCAAAAAAAAAAGGAAAAAGACAGACAATTACAAAAGTGGATACGTACTTAACTGTAAATATAGAAGAGAAGATGGTTAAAAGACTAAAGAGAGACAAAGAGAAATGTCTATTTAAGCCTCTTAATCTTCTCTTATTTGATATGCATTTACTATTTTTTTCTCAAGTCTTAAATCTGCAATTAGATTTCTTTTAGTAGTCCATGAAGCCTTAATAGAAATGTTTTCTGATTTCTCTAGGTCTTCAGAATATCTTAGTGAAATTAACAAAATATCCTCAAAGTTTCCCCATCTTTGAATAAAGAAACATCCATTGATATAAAAAATTGTGAACATGGACCCAATAGAAAACCATCAAAAGCACTAGTGAGAAGAAGTGATCTGTTGCAAGTTGGAAGCATCTAGAGTTGCAAGTCAAAAGGATATGTGTTGAAGTACTGAGAAATGATTTAAGGGCCTATATTTTGACAACACATATGGCACCGAATAGAGTGGAAATTGGAGATTAATGTAGCCAAGTCCATACCATTGGGACAAGACTAAGATACATACATGTATGTATGTAATTATACTTATATTTATGCTTCAATGCTTCAACATATTTAAAGTTATAGGTACTATTCAACATTTAAGAAGGGACTTTTCTCTGTGTAATGGTAAAACCCGGGCTGAGAATAGTGAGAACCTAGATCAAATCTAAGAGAGGCCACTTCGTAAAAGAAATTGCCAAAAGTTAGGTCCTATACAGTTACCCCATCCAAGACCCTAAATAGACGTAATCAATATTAGGTAATGACTATTTTAGGGATTATTTAACACTGACAGCTTTATTTTTATTTTTGATAACATCAACTTATAAGAGAATAAAATGAAATTTTACAAGGATACCAAGCATCTCAGAGGTTTATAGTTGAGGGTGCCACCACAACCTTTCTATACCTTAATCATTTTCTGGAATAACTACCCTCAGTTTACCCCTTGTTTTGCCAGGATATCAGCCAATCCAATTGCTGATCCTTGTACCAGTTTTACTTCTATGACCCTTTCCTTTTTCAGTGTGTTAATCTCCTTCATACTGTTCCTATGTTGCGATGGGGTCATATCCTTATTCTTAAAGCCATTTTACTACCATTGCAGAATTCCACTCCAATTCTATATGTTCCTATAATTGTATTCTTTAGCTAATCTCAATCCTCATAATGTTGCTGAAAATTTTACTTTTATAGAGTTTCCTTGCCCCACCGATCTATACAATATGGCCAATATGAACCCATTACAATCCTTAAATGCCCATTGGTGCCTGATGGATACTAGACACTGATTGTCCCTACTATACTTATCGAAATTCAGCTTTATCCTATTCCCATGGGAGGTATCCAGTTTGAGAACCTGGAGGAAACATGTAGGAAAGAAAAAAGTTGAAGTTAACAGTGGGTAGCAGAAGCTTGCCCAGTGGTGGAATGGAACATTCAAGGTTAACCCTTCAATGCATTTTACATGAGAAAACGCATTGACTTCAATATCCATTGTGGCGAGGCACACAATGGTGAGGCATAAGGCGAGGCACACAGATTTTGCCTTCAATATACATGAGAAAACGCCTTGAGGCGAGGCACACAGATTTTGCCTCAAGGATTAAGCCTCACAACTTTTATGTGAGGCTTAAGCCTTTGTCAGGATGAGGCGTAAGCCTCGAGCCTCAAGATGTGAGGCGTAAAAAGGCGTAAGCCTCAAGTAAGTATCAATGATTATTTTGTGATTCAATACAAAAAAATATATATTTGATGCATTTTCTTTTAGTTCAAAATATATGGAAGAAGCACTTCAATAATTATGAGCCAAATAAATAAAAAGTAAAAAGAAAAACCAATTGGGGAAATCAACTTCTATTAGTTTCTATTAGAGTTATAGGAGAGTTCAATGCAAAATGGGCCAATCAAGTTCTTAGTTTCTCGTGGATATATCAAGTGGTTTTTCTTATTATTCTAATTCTAACATCCTAGGTTTGTTATTTTTCTCATTTCTTTTCCTAATGGATTTATTTTCTTTTTATTGATTTTTTGTATAGACCAAATTAATCAAGAAATATTCTTTCTTCTGAACTATTAAATGGCCATAAATTTAATATCCAATTAAATGGATGATTCTTCATATGTTTCCTTTCTTCCAATTTGGTCATTTAAATTATTTGAGAACTTTGCATTTTTAAACATGAAATGTAAAATGTTTATAATTGTTAGTTGATTCATTATTAATTTATTTAATGCAATAACGCCTAAAACTTATTGCTTATAAACTTTTATTTATGGATATTTATACCTTCTATTTTTCTAAGTATATTATATGGTATTTTTATCAACTTATAAACTTTAATTAATTTTGTTCTTAAGATCTGAGGCTTACGCATCACCTTTTTGGGTCATTACGCCTCAAGGTTTACGCATCACCTTGTCAATATCTATATAAGCTTATTTGAACATCCATCCAAAAAAAAACATACGATGCAAATCTAACATGATATAAAAATGGTCATTAGCAATGAGAATATAAGTTGGTGATGAACCATTCTAGCTATTTCAATCTATAAATAAATTTTATTAACAATAAGTATCTTTGGAGTGCTTGAATTAGGATTACACAAGAGGTTTCCCTTTGTTTTACATCTAGAAACTCCAGGGTTTAATAGTGATCCAACTAATTTTATATCATCTCGCAATTACATTGAAGAGTATAAAATTTTCAGACTTCAGAGAGAGAGAGAGAGAGAGAGAGGGAGGGAGTCAATGGATAAATAGAGAAATGCTCCAACTCCCATCAATAGAGAAATGCTCCAATATATATAATTGGAGCTTGGTGCCAGAAAATGATCTCAAAATCCATTTCATTAAGATAGCTTCCGAAGCTTACTCAGGAAGCTCACTTCTGTAAAATGGCAAGTTACATAGTTGAATTTAACCTGATTTATTAAGAATCCAGGGCTGCGAAGAGATTTCTAGAAATCATTTGGCCTAGAGGAGTTTGAATTTTAAGAGTCCAATTATTAGGTAGATTTGTGCAAAATTATAAAAATAAATATATCAAGCAGAAAATACGTGCACAATAGAAATATAAGTAGCACCATTTTATAGTAAATGTAAAATTGATTAAAACAAATAAAAAAAGACAAATACAAGCATAGTGACCTAAACAAAGATAGAGAACAAAAGAAAACCCCCAAAAGGAACAAAAAGTAGCAGCAAATAACAGCAAGATTCTTCCAACCGCCCTAGATACATGAGTAGCATTTTCAATGAAGAACTTACCATGGACTCTTGTTAATCACATAATACATCCATTTTAACTTATCCAAGTCAGATATATCACAACGTTGCTTTAACCAATCCCTTAATGTAGGATTGCTGTACCAAACCTATAAGAAAACAGAAGGATAAGAAAAGAAAAAAAAATCAGTAACAGCTACCTTACATAATTTATCATATTGAGGATAGCATCATCAGACCAAATTATCTATTATGAAATAAGAAGAAAAAATATGACTTATTGGGAAGCTGTGAAAAGATTTAAATGGTTAACCATTAATATAACTGCAAGGATCCTTTGGCAAAGGAAAACATCTAATGGGATAGCAGATCACTTAGCCAAGCAAAGTGTGCATTGGGAACAGATGCTTTGGGCCCAATTGTAATTTAATTTGTATCTGAGGCTGCATCTCACGTCTCTTTTCAGGAAGCTGCTATGTACATCTTCTGTTTTATTAATAAATCCTTTCTTTACTTATCAAAGCAAAATAAGAAAGAAAAAAAAGAGAAATTTAAGAAGAATAATACAAGGAGGGGGGGGGAATTAAAAGCTGGGAAAAGAACAAAGAAAATGAAAATTAGAAATACAAAAACGACTAAAAGAACATTGTATATTATATATAAATGGGATGACTGCCCTTTTTGGTAATATATTATATATAATACAATATTAATCGCCTATTTATTTAAAAAATCACCAAGAGCAAAGGACAAATACAATAGGTTCATGGTTGATGTACAAGAAATTCTTTGAAACTTCCTTATCAACTCAACCAATAATCATTAGACTTCCCACTTGCTATTTTCATTATTGGGAAGAAAATGATGTTCACTAGAAAAAGCAATAGTGCAGTCCTTATAGCATATAGCACAATGATTAAATGTACAAAAAGGGAAGGAAAACATGGAAGTCTGTATACTCTTGATCTATTCAAGGAGTGAAGAAACTAGGGACCACACCAGTAGAGACTCCTATATATCCTAATTACAAGCACTGATGCAGATGAAAAAAAGAAATTATGGGGAAACAAACCAATTTTTGAATTCCTATACCAATTTCAGAGGTTTTGGGTTATAGGATATCAGTACTGTTTCACATTTTTATTTTCTAGTTGTGGGTATCTTAAGAATACGGTTCTGTTTTATAGATTTTTATTGCTATTTTGGAATTACTATTATAGTAATTCTTGTGATTACTATTATAGTAAATATACAGTTTACTATTTTTAGTAATTTCTATTGTCTTTAAAGTGAGTCAGTTGTAGTGGGATCAGTAATCAGTTATTAGAGTTATTTAGGAGTTGGAGTCCTTATTTAAGTGTCCTAATGGGTTACTTGTGGATTTGTCTTAGTTTTAAGGCAATTAAGAGTTGTTTTGGATCAGTTTCCAAATCCAAATTAGAGTCTGTAAAGGGACACTCGAGTTAATAAGTTGAGTCTATAAATAGAATCATTGTAATTGGAGCTGAAGGAGAGATTTGATGAAATAAAGATTGGTTTAGTAAATCCCATTTGTTGCCAGAAAATTTTCTCATTCTTCCCCCCTCTCTTATTTCTTCTTCTAGGAGATTTATCTTCTGCCGTTTACCCTGACAGAAAGCATTCTACTTGCTTCTCCATCCATATCCTTCATCTCCAATCACCCACAGCCCCTCATTCACCCCACAAAGCCCACCACAAGAAACTAAGTTAATAGGACTACCCTGTCCTACATCAAACATGGACTTTATGATGGTGAGTTGTTTCTTGACAAGGGAGAGTATCAAAGGTTGATAGGCAGATTGTTATATTTGTCTAACTTGATCAGATATTTCTTATGCTGTTAGTGTTTTCAGTCAATACATGCACCAAGACTTCTCATATGCAAACAGTATGATGAATCTTATGTTACTTGAAGAATGATACTCAGAAAGGACTTCTTTTCTCTAATAATGGTCATATACCCAAGGTTCAAAGTACCAATGCGCCCTGATACTCAGAAGGGGTGTATTGGTACTTTGAATCCCATGCTTATATTTTTTTAGTTTTTTTTTCAAACCTTTTCAGAAGGGTTGGTTTAACTGTTTAAGGCATGCCTACCTCCTAAAATGGAGTTTGACCCCAAAACACCTGTATTTTGCATATCAACAAGCCACTGATACAATATGATACAATACACCCAATACAGGCATGTTGTATCAAAATTTTGAACCTTATTAACAGAAAAAATAAAGCAATCGATTCCTTCCAGCCCCTTGTTTGGCCAGAGAATCAGAAAAAGAATTAGCCTCTCTTTCAACCCATTTTAGAGTAACATCCATGTCTTGCATCAGCCGCTTGATTCCTCCCTTCTCATGGATGAACCCTCACCAACCCACTTCCTCTTCCTTTTGCAACCATGTAATGACTAGTTTTGAGTCTCCCTCAAATGATAACTTCCGAATATTCAACTCTGCTTTTTGAATGCCCTCCAAGACTACCAATATTTCAGATCTCAAAGCATCCCTCACTCCAATAGGACCGAAGAAAAGAGAAATAACTTTCCCTTCCTCATTACTAAAAACTCCTCCAATGCTTGAAGGACCCGGGCTTCCTTCACTGCTGCCATCAAAATTCAACTTAATGAAACCACTGGAAATCGGAGACCAAGCAAGCCTTAAACTTTCCTTAGGAGGAGTGGAATCAGCAATTCCCTTCCACTTTCTCATCAAATCACCAGCTGAAATATCTTTAAACAGCTTCATGTATCATATTGGCGGTCATTGATAGGGGTGGATTCGAGCCGAGCCTAGATGAATACCTAGCTATTCGAGCTTGGCTCGCCAATAAAGTATAAGGCTCAAGCTCGAGCTCAATTTGAGCTAGAGCCTTGAGCTCGAGCTCAGCTCGGCTCAAGCTCAACTATGAGCCAAATGCTTTATAAAATAAAAAATATATATACATATAAAAATTTTTTTATATGAAATATAAAAATTAAGAATTACAAAAACTAGTTGTTATTATTATATATAAAAAATAAAATATAACATTTTTATTTTTTATATATTTATGCATATATATATATTATTTTCTATATGTACAATACTTTTATATTTATTATCTTTTATATGTGTCTATATATATGTAAAAGCTTGATTAGGCTCGCGAACCTCACGAGCCCAGCTTTATTGGGCTCGAGCTCGAGCTCGAATAGCTCGTGAAAAGCTCGGCTCGTGGCCACCCCTAGTCATTGATACACTAAATAAACATGTTTTCAGGGTTTAACTTATTTCAGGGGGTAGATAGGCCTAATACCTACCCTTAAACTATTTTTGGAAAAAAAAATGTATGGGCACAAGGTTCAAAGCAATGTTTTAAAATGCGGAGGCGTGATGCGAGGCGTTCCACTACCTAGAGGCATGAGGTGTAATTCAAAACACGAGGCATAAGCCTCCCAAACACAAGGAGTTGTAAGCCTCCTTAAGAGGAGGGGGGTTAGGAGAAAGGGGAGATCTCATTTTTTCTTTATTTTTAATAAAAATCTTTTATATTAAGAAGAATAAAGATGCATAACATTAGTTGAAATAAATTGGGCTGAAGACCCCCCTAACTCAGAAAAACAAATTGGGCTGCATCGAAAAGGGGGACGGGGGGGTCTAGGGGGCTTCACCCCCCAACTGAAGGGGCAGGGGGCAAACCACTTTCTTTTCCCTTTCCTTTTCTCTTTTTTTTTTCTTCTCTTTCTTTTTCTTTCCCTTCCCTTTCTTTTCTTTTCCTTTTTTTTTTCTTTTTTCTTTTTTTTGTCTTTTTATATGAGATGTGCATGAGGCACATGAGGCGTATCCTCTAGCATGCCTCATGAAAAAAGCACATGAGGCATATGCCTCTTGCACTTGAGGTGTACGCCTCAGAGGTGTCACTGCCTTTGGCATACGCCTTAGGGTGTTTTGGGAGCGCCTCCAGGCGTATGCCTCCTACGCCTTTTAAAACATCGGTTCAAAGTACCAATACACCCCTTGTGTCATATCAGGGTGTATCAATACTTCCAACCTTATCTGTATTATGACGATCAAGCCGCCATAAACATGGTTGACAAATTTATTCGACAAGACAAAACAAAGCACATAGAAGTAGACAAACACTTCATTAGAGAATGTGTTGCAAGTGAAGAAGAATGCCTACCTTCTATGAGATCTAGGTGCAGCTTGGGAAGGTTGAGTTGGATTGAGAGTCAACCCTAAGACTCAAACCTCAAGCTCAAGCATAGCCTAACACAAGGTAAAGTTCAAGTTTATCAACCTAGGCCCAACCTGAGCTTAACCCAACACAACTTGGGTTGGGCTCGGGCTTTGGCTATGCTTTGGTCAGTTGGGTCAAGTTTGAAGGTCGTTTTTGAATATGTTTTATACATTCATTTTTTATTGGGCTTTATAGCCCAATTTAGGAGTAGAGTGGATAGAATATATGCACAAATGTCATTAATATATGCATGTATGCAAATTTTATACATAATACATAATTAGAAAAATGTTTTTATATAATGCATAACATGTGTGTATTTGTACATGTTTGTGCATGGGTGTGGGTTTAAGATAATCATATACATATTGTAAATAACTAAATATAGTTTAAGGTGTGTATAATGGTACAAATCTGCAACATATATATATATAATAGATAGATAGGTTGGGCTTGGGTGGACCTTAGGTTACCTAAGGTTGACTTGAGGCCAATTGACCTAACATGAGCTCACTAAAGACTTAAACGAGATTGGGAATGCCCAAGTTGAAGCCCCACTAAAGACAGAAACTAGGGGTATCCCTATACCCAAGCTAGAACTCAATCTTAGCAACTTGGGCATGTATGGTATGCTCATCTTAAGTGGGACAATTGAGTGTTCATTGGTATTTTATCCATTTGATCTTTATCTCAAATAATGCAATTACTTGGTGGTGCTAAGGGCATTTTTGTAATTGGCATACAAATTAAGAGAATAAGGCATCTGATGCAAGATAGAACACCATACCTTCTACATTCTTCTTATTTTCTTCTTGAATCTCTAATCTCTACATATTAGAATAATTACTGACTTTTTATGCTCAAGTCTTTTCATGCTGATGCTAGGGGTGTTCCCTAGAAGCAACACACTACACCTTACCCAAGTGTGGTGACAAATGGCTCTAAACAGAACGAAATGGTGAAATAGACTCATGTTGCAAATCTTGGTTTTAATATTGTTTTTTATTTTCCAAAAAAAAAATAAGGATTGATATAGCTGATTCCATATGGTTGGAATAAGGCTTAGATGATGATAATGAGATTGATTTTATTGACTTCAAACTACATCTCCTATGAAGGCCTGCATCTTGGTGGCTTTCTATATTTGTACATCTTTTTTTTTATTTTTTTATTGAGGGGAGGGATATTTTTCTCTTAGGCTGCAAATTGTGTTTTTTTTTCTGTCTTTTTTATATTAAATAAAATGCTTATCCTTCACCATTAGGGAAAGAAAAAAAGACATTAAGAACTAGTTCAAGACAGGCCAAAGGGTTGGGAACTTCTACCTATTATCCACAAACAAAGAAAAAGACCAAATATAGCACGTACAACCTCTAGTAATTCTTGTACCTACCTGCAAATAAAAGATGTCATCTATCACTTTTGCAGCTTTAATAAGTAAAACAAGAGCTTCCTTGTCTGCTTCCGTTAGCCCATTCAACTGCAATAACAAGACAACAAAGAAATAAGGAAATTAGAGCTATAATTTGTTTTTAAGGAAACAAAATCCATGTATGAGATAAGGCAATGTTTCTTTGCGCCAGTCACAAGGACATACTGAAACACCAAACAACTTGTCAGTCAACAGATGTGGAGATCAATGACAAAACACATTCTTAGACTAAAACTGGGAATGCATTTGGGATTTCTAGTATTCAATAAATTCTCTACAAATCAATTATAAATTGTTGTATTTGTTATTTGCATTATTTTTTATGTTTAATTTGAAATCTTTTTCATTAATTACTGAATTTTGTATATAAAATAAAAAGTTGCATTACATGAATTGTTGCACTATTATTTTAAAGATTAAAATAATCTCGCAGAGACATTGGATTCTATTCTTTCTGGCTTGTAGATTCTGACACATCATACTTGGCACACATTCCAACTCTTGTACCCAAGTCCATGTAAGAGTTGTCAAAGATAGATGTACTTGATGTGATCATGCAAGGATAGATGAACCAACAAAAGACAACACAAGTAATATTACAATAGCTTATAAAAAAAAGGAATATTACAATAGACCTAAAGCCAGAATATCCTACTAACATTCCCAAATTGTAGTGAGAATGGGCCGAATGGGCCCTACTGTTCTTTATTTCTTTAAGTAGTGTTTAAAAGTTATGTTTCTTAGTTATGGGCCTTATGGGCGTTCTTTTATTTTCTTTAATTATTTCATTAGTGCTGGACACCCCATTAAGGGCATCCAAGTAATTGTACTTAAACTTAGAATTATTAATAAAAGTGATGAAAGGGGATAGGTGGTATCCCTATGATGCATGGGTTCATGATGGAGGAGTTCTCACCGGTGAGAAGGTGGAGGAAAATGTTGAAAGTTGAAGCAAAAACCTTTGTGATGGAGGAGGTGTGGACTAGGGGAGCCCAAGCACTGAAGATAGTTGAACTAAGAAGAGCTTCCCTCGTCCTTCCAGAAAGAGCTGTTTTTTGGTTCAGGGGTGTGCTAGAAGGTGCAAAGAACTCATCACAGGCAAAAGCATAAAAAAACTACCATACTGAAGCAGGAAGAAAATATGTTGCATAAAGGAGAGAAAACAAAAAGGGAAGGTATGTTGGAATATACGAGTTGGTGAAGGTTTGAAACAATATACCTGTTTCCCGAAAGGAAGAAAGGCCTCAGGTTGGAAGCAATTCAGGAGTTCACCAACACAGCTTTGAAAGGCAGAAAAGGGAAGGAAAAAATATCAAATGAAGAAGAGAAATAAAAAACATTGAAGGAAAAGGAGATTTGGAGCGAAGATGAAATGTTGTGCGAGGAAGTAGAAGATGCATGTTTAGCTGCACATGTGGGAAAGCTAAAAATGTGGCTAAACACCTCCAAAGAAGATTGGGAACACAGGGTGGTTATTACAGCAAAAGGAATTGTAGGAGACTGGACTGGCCCAGGGGAAGAAGTGAAACAGTTACTAAAGGTCTCAGGCAAGGTAGTAATACAACCTTTCAATGGGAAGTGTTTTGGAATGGTAGAATACTGATGTATTTCATTCTATTGCCAATCGGCATATTTATACAGTAAGTTGCTGCAATAAATAGAAAGAAGAAAAAAATAGAAAGAAAAGAAAATAGAAAGTACAAGAATAGAAAGAAAAGAAAATAGAAAGAAAAACTTTCTAAATCCTTCCACAATCCTAGGAATATATACAATTCTATTTTTACACAACTACCAAATATAGATCTGCACCAGTAACCCCATGTTTTCCAACACTCCCCCTTAAGCTGGTGAATAGAGATCCTCCATTCCCAGCTTGGCTATAATTCTTCAAAAGTCTATACTATTGAGCCCTTTAGTAAGTACATCGGCCAGTTGTCCTTTTGTAGACACATAGGGAGTGCAAATCAACTTGCTGTCCAGTTTCTCTTTTATAAAGTATCGGTCAATTTCGATGTGCTTCGTCCTATCATGTTGAACAAGATTATTGATGGCTAACTTGTTATCACAATATAGTTTCATAGGCTCTTCTCGTGGAATCTTCAGGTCTTCTAAAATTATCTTCAACCAGAGTAATTCACACACTCCTTGTGCCATAGCCCTGAATTCTGCCTTTGTACTTGACCAAGCCACTACATTTTGCTTCTTACTCCTCCAAGTGACTAAGTTTCCTCCCAAGAAGGTACAGTAACCGGAAGTGGACCGTCTATCTACTGGAGATCATGCATAATCGGCATTTGTATATGCTTCAAGAGCCAGTCCCCCATTTCTTCTGTGAATAAAATTCCTTTTCCTGGATTGGCTTTCAAATAGTGCAGAATTCGATGAGCAGCCTGCAGATGAACTTCTTTAGGATTATGCATAAACTGACTTATTACACTTACAACGTATGCAATATCTGGTCGTGTATGTGCAAGATAAATGATTTTTCCAACCA